CATTCAGGGGACACCCCATCTCCACCATCCCCAGCCCTGGCAGGGGTAGTGCCTCCCTGTCCCCGGAGGCTCTGGCGCTGTCCCCGGTGCCGCGGCTCACGGAGCTCTGGTAATGTGGTCCGGGGGGACCCGCCGTACACACAGCACCTAAATTATTTAATTTCTCCAAACTACTGCACCTTTATAAATCATTAAAAGCTCCTTTTGATCTGTGTTAATGAGGTTTCCCGAGTGCGGGGCTGGGAAACGCTTCGGCGCCAGGAAAGCGACGCTGCTGATTAAAAAAATAAAGAAGGAGTGAGTGGGAGCACGGGGGGTGGGAGAGGGGATGGGCACGGGGCAGGGGGCACTGGAGATGGGCACGGGGTGGTTTGGGCATGCTCGTTGTGGTTTTCTCTTTCCCTTTCCCTGTCTTCCCTTTCCCTTTCCCATTCCCTTTGCCTTTTCCTTTTGCCTTCCCTTCCCTTTTCCCTTTTCCTCTTTCTCTTTTTCTCCTGGGGACAGGATTGGGGAAGTGGAAAGGGATGGGAACAGGGACAGGGACAGGGATGGGGACATGGGGACAGGGATGGGAATGGGGATGAGGACGGGGATGGGGACCAGGGTGGGCACTGCGGGTAATGGATGCAAATTCCATGCAGAACCAGCGGGTGCCTCCCCAGCCCTGCCAGCCCCGGCACTGGTCCCAGAGTGGTGCTGGCCCAGCTGGGATGGGGGAGCAGCACCCCCAGCCCGGCTCAGCCTGGCATTCCCAACACAAACACCTTCATTTACGGCTATTTCCCTTTCCCTTCCTTCAAGGTAAATGACAGAAAATCCCAGGACAGCCATCAGCCTCCGAGGTAACCTCGTCCCGCCTCGGCCGCGCTCCCACCGGATTCGGCGGCTCCTGTTACCTGGGGCAACGGCGGGGAAATGACGGCTGGCATCTAAATTGCCATCATTACACTCCAGAGCCAACACTCCCCATTTACACTTTATTGTCATCTTTTGCTTTAGGGAGATGCTGAGATATTACAGGACGGGGCGACAGAGCGGGATGAGATGGGATGTACGAGGAGAGAGACACGGAGATAAATGGGGACCCCCGGAGCTGTTATTTCAGCCTGTTTGTGGATCCGGAGGTGGATCCGGAGCCCATTCCCGTGGGCTACGAGGAGGCTCTGGCACACAGAAGAAAACCTAATTTGCTTAAATGCAAGAGCCAGCCTGTCGGGGCCTGGGTATGAGACACCTCAGAGAGGATTCCCACCAAAGCGGTGCCGAAAATGCCACCTAAGGAGCCCCGGCCTCCTCCACCCCACTGCCCCACTGACACCCTGTTTCAGTGCTGGTGCCCTATTTTGGGGCCAGCACACCATTTCTGGGCTGGCACCCTATTGCAGGGCTGGTACCCCACTGTGGTATCACCCCATGGGCCCCCCAAAGCAAAACCCGCTCTTGATCCTCCAAACACCAAGTCAGTTCTCCCCCCTCCAACCCACTTTTTGCCAAGTTGCACAAAGAAAAATGCAAAGCCAAACTCGGGGTGTCACCAATTCCCCCCCAGCTCCGCTCAGGGACCACGGTGAGACGAGGCCAGGGGGGCAGAGCGAGGGGGAGCTGCTGGGAACAGCAGGGGGAGGAACGGGGCCTTTCAAGTGTTTGCAGTGAAAAAAGGAAAGAAAGAAAAAAGCAGAGAGTTCAAAAACTGAGCAGCTTTACAGGGAAGAGCCGGGGAGGCTCTGCCCCTGGTCCCACTGTGCCGTGCGTGGGATTGGGATCACGGGGATCCCTTCCCACCCAATGCCTCCCTGAGAGGGACCCTGGAGCTCGTAACCATGCACACGCCTGGGATAAACCCAACCAGAGCTGTGAACACAAGAGCTGGGAGATGGCTGACCCTCTGGATGAGCCTGGAACTGGCTGACCCCCTGGATGAGCCTGGAGCTGGCTGACCCCTTGGATGAGCCCGGAGCTGGCTGACCCCTTGGATGAGCCTGGAGCTGGCTGACCCCTTGGATGAGCCTGGAGCTGGCTGACCCCTTGGATGAGCCCGGAGCTGGCTGACCCCTTGGATGAGCTGGGAGCTGGCTGACCCCCTGGATGAGTTGGGAGCTGGCTGACCCTC